CTCCATCAGAAGAAATTTTTTCATTACGAGATGAGTTATGTGTGTTAAATGAATATTCTTACGCTGATCCATTATATTTATAATTGGAAGTTCTTGTGATTCTAATCTTAGTTCTTACATATGGAGTTTGAAATTGATGAGACTTTGAAGATATTTATAACACAATTGAGAAATTTGATGGTTCATGAGTATGTTTTGTTTGATTATACATAAGTCCCTGAGTTTCCATCAAAGTTGTTCTTCCATTGAGATGGAGCCTAAATATGGAAGAGAGACACCAATTGTGATAAATTATGTTGTGTACGCAAGCTGCGTGTGGGAGAGATTGAATCCATGATATCATGTCCACGAGCTCTTATACAATAATCTTCTCTTATATTCAAATTCTATGATACGAGTGTTCTCTGCTACGGATCAAAAAGAGGCTTTCAAGCTTTTTTTTTAAAAGTATTGTATGATTTGTAGGAAATAAGAAAGGTATCGTCTTCTCTTGTGATCTTTAAGCTATGAATCTTAAATAGAACTCTAAAGCCAATATGAGATTTGTCTGTGATTGTAAGTGGGTTATGTTTGGACAAGTTTTTATGGACATAAAATTGTGGATCCGTTTGTGTGGATCTGTTATCCATACCAAAACAATGGATGAGTTTCAAAATTCTAGGGTTTGTCCACGCTGCAAAAAATTGCAAGTTGTAATCAAAAGAACCCATGTTATATGAAAATGTGGTTTGGTGTTCTTTGATATGAGTTCTTAAATCTCAGTTTTTGATCATGAGTCAATTTGTGTCCATTTAGCATCAACCAAAGGTTTAAATAAAAATGGATAATAAGTTTTCGATAGTAACTTATTTCTCAGAAATTTCAAAACAAAACTTCGAACTTTCAAACGTATTTCTCATCAAATTTATTACATTTCAACAAAAACAAAACACTAAATCAGTATCAAGAAAATGCGAAAACCGAAATTTTCTTATGAGCAAATATAGGATTTATGTGCTCTAAAACCAAACAGATGAATTTGTAACCATCCAAATATGACGATTAGTATTTGTCTATATGGACAAGCAAATATTTACAGAATAAAAGATTGTGTATCCATATCAATGTATCCACCAAAAAGATAATTGTGCCAAAAGAATTTTAGCAAATTCGACAACTACTGGAACAATGTTACAGAGAAAAATTATTGGCAAGTCTAAACAATTATGGAATTTACCAAGAACAACTCGAAGCATCTCAATGTTTTCACGCGAAGGGACTATTCCTGATTTGCCAATAAAGAAAATTTTCTTACAAGTATCAAACAAAATTTCAATCGGACCACAATTTACTTGCTCCGACGTTGGATATTCTTTTTAAGTGAGTTTGAACAAATCTCTGATTTCGTCACCGGAATATTCCTACCTGAATTCGTAAGGGTCGAAAGCTCCGAGAGATCTCTCCTTACTCGTCCACTCACAATTAAGCCTCTCCATGGCTGTCATACGCTCCGTCGTGTAGTAACCAAACAAATCGTTTTTTGAAATCTCCTTCGTTCAATTCTGCTTGATCTTCAACTCAGATTTATACTAAGAATTCAGATCGAAAGGAGAAGGAGAGAATCGGAGCCGAGGTTTTGTTCTTCGTGTTTGGAGAAACGACCAATTTTTAAAGAAAGAAGGGAAAGTTAGTGAAAGGGTAGAAAATAGATTAACCTTTGGAAAAATATACTTCCCTTAGAAAGACTCTCAAATGTTATAAAAGTTTCCAATAAAGTGTCTACATAAGTAAATAACTCAAAGTTACATCATTTGTCTTTTTACCTTGCTTATGTCCATGTCCGTATTATCCTCCGATTCTTATCTTCATCAAACTTACATGTTTGCGACAGTTTTGTGTTAAATTGAGAAATGGAATAACCGAAAAAAATTTATTAGAGATGAAGAAGTTTGTTATAGCAAAACCAAAGAATCGAACTTGTTACCTCTGCAATTACTGTGACTATCTCTAGCCACTGGACCGCAAAATATTTGATAGATAGCGTTTAAAATAGTGAAAATTAAATACCAAGCATCTCTAAAACCCTACAACGTTCGTTCATTTGGGGGACTTGAGTTCTGCAATCGAGCAAAAGAAACGGCGATGGGAAGATCAGCTCTGATTCACTTGATTCGCTCTCAATCTCGTCGTCTCTGTTCCTCGACCTTCACTACAGGTTCTTTATCTCTCTCAAGTATTCAGCTTTCTTCTTTTCTTCAATAAAGCTCCGATCTTGCTCTTTAGATTTTTACGGGTTTAGAGTACAAATGGCTACTTTTGTATTGGCTTTATGGGTTTAGAGTAGAAATGTTTACCCTTTTCGATTTTATGGTGAAATTTCTTTGCTTGATCTGACCTAATTCAGTAAATTGCGATGGATTTGAAGTTGAGTTGATTATTATCCACCATAGCTTCGTTTGGATGAGAAAATGGCAGGCTAGGGTTTTTCTTCAAGCTCAATTTTAAGCATTTTGATGCTTCATTCATCTGTGTCTAATGCCATCGTCTAGATCCTTCAAAGTCAAAAAACTTGTCACGAGATCAGATCTAGCTTAGATCTTCAATAACTTACTGATATCGAGTCTAATTGTTTGGTTCAATTCTATGTTTGTTCTAAAATTAGACGAATTGCATAGATTTATCGAGCATGGTTATTCGTATTTCTGTTTCAGGTTATCATCATAGGTCACTAACAGGGACATGGTCATCATCATCAGTGATCCCTAAGGTTAGTAGATTCGAGGCTCCGTCCCTAAACCAGAGAAGTTGGGCATCGTCTGGAGCTAAGACTAGAGACGACGATGACGATCACAAGATCAGTATCGGACCACAAGAGAAGAAAGAAGAGAATGGTGGAGGTGTGGTTTACTATGGACCAATCTCGGCGACCATAAAGAAAGTGAAACTTCTCTCACTATCCACTTGCTGTCTCTCGGTGTCTCTCGGCCCTGTCATCACCTTCATGACTTCACCGGGATTGAATGTGATCATGAAGGGTGCGGTTGCCTCCACGGTGATCTTCCTCAGCGCATCCACGACTGCTGCTCTCCATTGGTTTGTTAGCCCTTACGTGCACAAGCTGAGGTGGCAGCCTGGTTCAGACACTTTTGAGGTCGAGATGATGACTTGGCTTGCGACATTTACCCCAAAGACACTGAAATTCTCGGACATTCGTTATCCAGACACGCAAAGGCCGTTTGTGAGCTTTAAGGCGGAAGGGAATTACTACTTTGTGGATGCAGAGCATTGCCCTAACAAGGCGTTGTTGGCTAGGCTCACTCCTCCAAAGGATGCACATGACTCTGCTTTCAAGAACTTGTGATCTAAAATCCACTTTCCTTTTCTTTATCATACTCTCTCGCGCTTTTGGGTGTGGATTTTTGTTGGGTTTGTAGCTCTTTTGGATCTCTGAACCTCTCTGTTTCTCATAGCTAGTACCCGAATATGCAAATAAGAAAAGAGTTTTAAAATGCATACTAAGCTCTTTTGATGTAGAAAACAGGTTAACTATGGTTGTGTTGTTTTGTGATGTGAGTTTATTACAAGGCATATTACATTCTCGCGTATCATACTTCTTTTTCACTAATTGTATGCACAGTTTATGAAGAAAATGGAAAGATAAAACTGTTAGATTGTATTTATTTTTGTTTAAGAAACTTTGACAGCCAAAAAAATTTCGGATCATCGGTATATAATCTTCTGTACATCCTACTCGGCGGCATTGTGATTCGGCTTTATTTTTTATGGGAGAAAGTCCATTAAGATAGCTTGCTATCTATCTGGGTTTTCACGAGTCGCCCTTGCGTTGTACTTTTGCATGAGTTTGGCTCATCCCACTAGAAAACGTGGCGTTTCAGGTGCAAATGATCTTCATATTTTACCGGTTTGGATACTCAAATCGTTTTTGTTTGGTTTTAACGGTTCACTCAAATCCAGTTTTATAATTCTACTAGTTTTAAAGCCCGTGCGTATGCACAGACATAGGTTTAATTTGATTTTAAAATTACAATAACGTTAAATCACACATTTCTAATACAACAGTATAACTATAACGTTAAAATTACATCATAGTTAAAGCACTTTCTTGTAAAAATTTCTGGTTAGAATCACTATAAACAACCCCTGTGAAAGGGAAAAACAAAGCTACAGCGTGAAGATCTGAAAATCTCTGTTTGATGAAATTGCTCTAATTAACAGTTGGGAATAGAACCCTATTGTGATTTCCCTGAACCTAACTCCATCGCCTTGTCAAATGAATGTCATAATCGCTAGTTCTTCAAGCTCATACTTAACCCACACTACACTATCTCACCAAGTTTGGGTTTTGTCCATGAAAGCCTATGAAGACATCAAAGCTCCTGATCTTGGTGTTTGTTGCAGATGAAGAAACAAATACTTTAGTCAAATGATACTTGGCTTTTATTGGCCAGAAGGAGGAGTGTAGGAGCCGCTTGGTACATCTTTAGATTGTGAACCTTTGTAAGAAAGAGGCGGTGATGGCTTATGAGTGGTGGTTGTTGTGTGCCTCGTGGAGTAAATAAGGAGATTGTAAATTAGCGGGAAAAACAAACAGAGTATCGGAAACTAAAAAAACACGAACACATGACAAAAACAACACAAAGACGGCTGCTCGAAAAAAGTTCCCCAAATATATTTGCATTTTTGATTTAAACGATACAAAATTCAAACACGATAGAAGAGAAGTCTATGAGAAATATGAGCATTTAACTTGAGTGATAGAAGAAATACAGAAAAGTTCATATATAGCAAAATCAAATGATAGATTACTGTGAATGTAAAACACTTTGATATTGCAAGAGAACCAAAAAGAGATGCTTTCATTAGCTTAATACCATCGGCTATATAGCCTTACAATCAAAGTAAAGCGAACACAAAAATAGGAAACAAACTTGACTAAGTCTTTAGCTACTAAAACGAAATCTGAGCCACTAATGTCCTTAACAATYGGACTTATTTTACTGAGCAATAATAAGAACAATGACTTATTCAAACCAACTAAACTCAACAATC